GTATGGAATTCACCTTGAACAGGTCACCCAGGAATGTCCTTTTGCCGTTTTGCTGGGACAGGGCCTCGGCTGGGAGACTGTGCCTGGCGACTGGAAAAGCTCGCACAAATATCCTGAGGATTTAACTTTTTAAAACAATTTGCTCCCTTGCAATAAAAAAGTAATTACTTTCAATTGCTTCATTAATTATAAAAGAAACTAAATTTTGAGTAATATTACTTAGGATATAAGCAGCTACTTTCCACTAAAAACCTCAAAGTCAATCATGTGTGGAAGTTAATTTCCCAAGTTCCCTTTTAAGGCTAGTGTAGAAGTCTCTGTGTGTTTACATACGACCTTCATTAAGGTTAAGAATTTTCATTTAGATTTTGGCTTTTTTTGATGCTAATATGTTATGTCAGGTTGTTCCTCAATACTTTTTGTCAAAGGAGCAGAATTCTTTTTTTTCTTCACTTACGTGTCCCTGAATCTCTAAACCATACTTAGGGTCAGACAGGGAGGACTTCCCACACTCGTGGAATTTGAAGTTTTTCTTACTTTAGCAGACTTTCCAGGCTAGCAAATGGCTTATTCTTTAGTGTCGTGAAAATATTGGACGAGGTCAGCATTACTGTGGAAATCCACCTCTCGAGAAAAGCTTGGTTGCATTTTCTCATCTTCTTTTATTCTCTTTGCTACATGATTATTTTTTAACAAAAAGCTAAGTATAATAAGTTCTTCAGGTGATAAAGATTGGAGCTAGTATTTGTGACTATTTTAAAGTGTTGACTGAAGTATCCTCCTTATCATCACTTCCTCCCTCTCTGCCTGACGTTGCTCCCCCACATTTAAAGTTCTTTGATTCACTTTTCTTGGGCCTTGAGACCCTTTGTCCCAGTGCAGGCTTCCAGAAATTAGTTGTTGGATGCTGTCATTGGAGGACTGGGGGGAAGACAAATGCAGCAAATCCTTGGCTTTTAAACTCAAAAGCTTCACTTCCTACACAAGAAGGAAGTATTTAGGAAAAAATTTGTTACCCAGTTCTGAATCCCCCCACTCCTGCCAAGAGCTCCTCTGAACTGTGGAGGGGAGTAGAACAGGAAAGGAAGCCAGACAGTTAAGTCCCCTTAGAGCTGGGCCCATGCTCTGCTTCTAATCCCTCCCCAGGGTTCTCTCAAAATGGGAGGGGTGTTGATAAAAATCCCCAACATAAGTTTGGATATCCAAAGGTAGAGGGGATAATTCTGGGATGTCAGCAGACTCTACCCCTGAAGATATTTCCCATATTGACAAGCGTGTGAGTCCTAATGGCTTTTTAATGGAATCCAAGATAATAAAGTCTTGATAAAGATTTAGGGTGTTCGTGACTCCAGAGAAGCATAGGAAAATAGCTAAATTTTTCCGCTGCCTTCAAGAGGGTGCAAAATTGGCTGAGAGAAAGAACCGGTGGTCTAAAATGACTTCTCAGTTTTGGTTGGTTGATGTTACTGCAGACCATGGAGTAATGACTGATTTTCAGAGAACAGAGTGGAGAGGGAGGCAGGAACAGAGGCCCGGAGAGGCAGAGGCCATCTCAGCAGATCACAATGCAGTACAGGTGGCAGCCATCAACCAGACATGCTCTCCTCACTTCCCTGGCCTCCGTGTAAGCCCCTGAAAATTAGGTACCGGGTTGAGGAGAAAGAAGAGGAAGGGAAATTTTGAATTAGCTATACTTAAACCTGACATGACTAAGTATAGCAGGAAATCACTAAGATTCTGTTTTCTGCCATTAGGCAGGGTGGGGCTTGATATTCATTTATTAACACATATTTATTGAACGATCACTATGTGCCAGCCACTGCTCTAGGTACTTGAGATATACTGGAGGCAGAGGTCTGTGCCCTCAGGGAGCTTCATTCTAGCAGGGTGACACAGACAGAAATGATTGGGAGAGTGGGATGGGGTGAGATAGGTACAGTATTTAATAGAGTGGTCAAAGTGACCTCAAAGTGGTAACAGTTAGAACAAAAGTTCTAGAAAAAGCAGAAGTGTTTGAGGAGCAGTAAGAGAAGTCAGAGAGATAATGGAGGGCAGATTGTAGGGCTTACAGCTCAGTTTATAGGATTGGCTTTTACTTTGAGTAAAACAGGACTCTGTTACTTGTGTTGAAGAGAGGAGTAAAGTATCTGATTTGCCTTTTCAAAGGATCATTCTGTTTACTGTGGTGAATATAGACTGAGGTGGCAAACATAGCTACAGTGAGAGCAGTTAGGAGATTATTGCTCTAATCCAGGCAAAGGATGATAGTGGCCATCATGAAGGTGTGCACAAGTGACTCGATTTGGAATATACTTTAGAGGTGGAGCCAACAGTATTTTCTACAGTACTGGATAAAGGATATGAAAGGGAAGAGTCGAGGGAACTCTTAAGTTTTCTGTCCTGAGTTACTAGAAGGATGTAGTTGCAACCCAGTGAGAGGGGGAATGCTGCCTGATAAACAAGTTTGGGATTGGAGAAAAGATCAGGAGATTGATCTTGGATATGTTAAGTCTGAGATGTCTATCTGGCAGCCAACTGGAATGTTGAACATGCATTTAGATACCTGAGTCTGGAAGAATCTTGACTGGAGATATTAATTAAGGAGTTTTCAGCATAGAAATAATATTTAAGGTTATGGGGCAGAATTGAGGGCTGGCTCCCTATTAATATGTTTAAGTAATCTTCTAACAGACTTCCATCTTGCAAATAATGACAATAAATTGTAAACGAAATACCAAAAAGAACTACTCGAAGGTTCTGAGGAGTTAACAAACCAGGCAGATTATGAAGGAAAATTGAAACTTGTAAGAAGTAATTGGCAATGAGTCAATTTCTCATTTTTACAACTTTTAACTTGAGTATCATCTTCAGTAGTTTCTGCAAGGAATGTTTTAAACTCCAATAGAAAAGGTTAAGTTTTTCTGGCCTGAAGAACCAGAAGATAGAACTTGGGGCAACCATGAGAGTAGAAAGTGAATGGGGAAATAGACAGCCAGAGAAGGGGAACCCTACTCTTTGTGTATAAACTCTGTCAAATACCTGGTTGACACTTGAACCTTACATGATTGAGAAAGATTTCAGCTAAGGACAAAAGAAGTGAACTGACATTTGAGCTACCTCTAGTGAGATGGTTTGTAGTTTGAGTCCAATTAAATTAACATTTGTAGTTTGAGTCCAATTAAACTAACTATCTGATGAAACAAATTTCCCACTTTTTGGAGGAATAAAATAGAATATAGAGTCTCCACAACATAACATTTAAAAAGCTCTAAATATAATCTGAAATTACTCAGCATATGAAGAATCAGGAAAATGTGGCCATTCTAAAGAGAAATAACAATCAATGGAGCCCAACTCTGAGATAATGCATATGTTGGAATTAGCAGACGAGAATTTTAAAGTAGCTATTTTAACTGTGCTTCAATGAGGTAAAGTAAAGTTGCTTATAATGGATGAAAATTTAGGATCTCTCAGCAGAAAATCAGAATACATAAAAAAAAGAATCCAGTGGAAATTCTAGAACTAAAAACACGGTATCTGAATTAAAGAATTCCCTGGATGGTCTTAACAGCAGAGTAGAGATGACAAAGAAAAGAGTCAGTAAACTTGAAGAAAGATTAGTAGAAATTATTCAATCTGAAAAAGTAAAAAAAAAAAAAACAAATTCAGAAATTTGAACAGATATTTAGAATCTATGGGCAATATCAAAAGAGCAAATGCAACTATTATTGGAGTCCAGAAGGGAGGAAACAGAATAGACCAGAAAAAGTATTTGAAGAAAAAACGGCTGAAAATTTCTCCAATATGATGAAAGACACAATACTGCAGATTCAAGAAAGTAAGCAAGCCCAGAACAAGGTAAATACAAATCAAATTATGTCTGGTGGCATCATTGTCCAACTTGTGAAAACCAAAGCTAAAGAGAATGTCTTGAAAATAGCAGGAGGAAAACAAATCATTACCTACAGGGGAATAATGATTCGTGAATTCACAGACTTCTAATCAGAAACCATACACTCCACAAGATGATGGAATAATGTCTTTAAAGTGTTAACATTAAGTCCTGGGACTGCACAAAATCAATAGGGAAGTAGACAGCAAAGAGAAACCAAGAAATTAGGTGAAGTGATAAGACAAAGAAGGAAAACTGAGTGGGAGGTTATCTTGGAAAATATATCAGAAAGGAGAGAACGATCAACTGTGTCAAATGCTGCTATTAAGTCCAGAGCAGAGAAGTGACATTGGGTTGAATAACAAGGACGTCAGTCATAATCTTGACAGGAACAGTTTGGCAGAATGGTGGGCTTAAGGCTTGATTGGAACGGGTTTAAGAGAGAATGGGAGGGAGGGAATTGGAAACTATAAATCAAGGCTGCATGAGGAGGAAATGGAGTAGTGGAGAGTGGGGTCAAGAGAAGGTTTTGTTTGTTAACATGCTAATTGTATGATCCAGTAAAAAGCAAAACAAAAATGATAATTTGGATAAAAAGAGAAAGAATTGTCTAGTGTTATCAGGTCTGTAGAAGAAAAAAACAAAACAGCTAGTTAAATTAGAATAAAACATAATACACATGAAAACGTGACTTAATTCTCATATCCCCTCTATACTGGGCAGAGCTCTCTGCTCCCCAGACTTTACCATTTACCATTTGGTTATTTGCCAATGCAAAACATTTGAAAAGTATATCCACTAAAAATTATGAAAAATGCAATGATTTTATAGAGTGGTAACTTTGATTTCTTCCTTTGTGTTTTTAACTTATGGATGTTTCCCACAGAGTGAACAGCATATATTTCAAAAATTGGTTTTTAAGTTAAGTAACTTAATTCAAATGTATTTTTCTAATAATATTGATGTTATATAAGGTAGTTTATCCTGACCAGTCCACAAAATCCTATAAAGTACCTGAGTTGTGATACTAATCATCTGGGAAGTTTCAGCTATTCAGATTTTCGTTTCTATGGGACGACATATTCTAATTTCTAACCCAAGGTTCTGGAACACATCTCCCATTATGAAGTGGGCCTGAAGGTGGGAGTGAAGACACCACTGCTATTCAGACCCCCACCCTCATCTTCCAGCAGTGAGGGGAGGACATCAAAGTTCTCATGGCACCAAGGATTCAAGCAATGGGGTAATGGAGATCCTGGGCATTTATTTCCTCACCAGAGAAAGCTACGTGAGGCCCCAGGAGTCACTACGGCCATAGTGATGTAGAAAGTTTCAGCAGCTGGAGTGTTGGTGAGTACTCGCCCACATGGCTACTCATCTATGTAAAGGCATGTTCATGTCTTTCCATGCTGTATAAATTATGTGTGTGTGTGTGCACACATTCATGCTATTATTTCTGTATATACTGAAATCTTGTTGACCTGTAAACCCAACATATAAAAAAGTCAATGAATAAACTTTTGTTCAAATATGACTAAGAGGTAAATGTCTATTAAATAAACTAAAAGCAGATTCATTCTCACATATAGTTTAAAGTATGTACAGGAACCCCATTTCCTATGCATTCTGCCCCTACAAGATTGTGCAGGGATAATGATGTATGTGTTTAATGATGATGCTCAGGTCGGGGAAAAAATCCTGAAGAGAATTCTGAATCGTCCATAGTTAAATTATTTTCAGCATAGATTCAGTACTCACTCAATCTTTGAATACTGATAAACCATATAATTCTTGAGTAACAGTAGCATTAATCAGAACTGCTCCCAGTTATGGAGGTAAGAACTTATGATTGTTTCCTTAAGTGGAAAGACACTTTATTTAGATCTATCGAAGTAAATTTTTTCTTTTTACTTTTCTTCTTGATCTTCTGGGTCATCATTATAACTGTCTCCATTCACCATTTTCTTCCTATTATGAAATGTAAAGTCGTTATTTTTAGATACACTTTGGACTTTAAGAATTGCAGGTGCATTCGCCTATTTGTGAGGACATTCAATGATTTTGAGCTTGCTGGATGGAATATATTTAATTTCAATGCATTGGGGAAACGCTTGAGTTCAAAAGATTTAGAGTTATTGTAATTACAATTCATTGAGAGTAAGAATTACAGCTAAGTAATTTTCTTTTCTTGTCTCAAAAAGAAATGGATACACAGATGTATATTCTGAATGCTTATAGAGTCTTAATTGCCTGCCATGAGGTAGTATTTAGGAGGATGATTAAAGGGGTTAAGACAGGTCTATAGAAAAGAAACCTCCAAGTAAGAGGGAATGTATTTGTTAACACTGCTTCTGAGATTGAAGTTAAGATTTATAGCGTTTACCAACTGTTTTTTAAAGTTGCAGGTGGTTTGTGTACATGTTGTTAGAAACTGAATTGTTCACAAATGATATATTTTAGCTGATTCCTTGGCATTGTTTCTCAAATAATAGTTGCTATTTCAAATCTTACTTTTCAAAAACCTCACAGACATTCTTAAACACGAAGATCTCTTCTCTATAATCTTGTTCTTCCAAGATATCACTGGTGCTGTGATCAAGAGCTATTTGTTCAATTGTGACCTGTGGAGCTTTCTTAACCTCTCATAAACTGAAGTGCCAATCACCAAGCTGGATATAATTACGTTTTAGTGATTTCTTTGAGCTTTGAAGGCTAATGGATAGCCTCAAGTATTTAAATAACTGCTTGAACTCTCTTAATTGATACAAACTGTCTGTGATAATTCCACTTTCTCTAGTATGCCACCTGAGCAGCTTTATCTTAGGTGTACGTGCTCAATTGATAGTGTTCAATGGTACATGATGTTTATATGTCTTTGTCTTATTGAACTGTATATGAGATAATCATTTTAAGTTATGTTTTAAAGCTGAATATCAACATCATAAACTAAAACATTGGAATCAATGTTTGTATGCTACATCAGCAAATTTAATATTTCATATCAAATTTTGTTAGTCTTTTGTAAACATACTAAAACTTATACAGCCAAATGATTTTTTATACAGATGCATATTTACTTTTTAATTAAAATTAAAGTATCCATGTTAAATTTTGGAAAACTATACCAAATGATTTAATATTTAATTATGCTAGACAAGTATTTGAAGTCTTTAATATTTATTGAAGAGTTTTATTGATTTTCTTTTTTTTTTTTTTAAAGATTGACACCTATGCACACATCTGTTGCCAATCTTTTTTTTCTTTTTTCTTCTTCTTCTCCCCAAAGCCTCCCGGTACATAGTTGTATATTCTAGTTGTGAGTGCCTCTGGTTGTGCTATGATGAGCAGTGCCATGTCCACGCCCAGGATCTAAACCGGTGAAACCCTAGACCACTGAAGCGGAGCATGTGAACTTAACCCCTCATCCATGGCCTGGTCCCCTTAACTTTCTAGATTAGAGATAATCATGATATATTTGGAGGAATAGTTGTGTTCATAGCCTACTTTCCTTTAAAAAATAACATCATAAAATGTAAGTTAGATATTGACCTGAATCATGATGTAAGATAAATTGTTATACCAGAAATTGGGGAAGTAAAAAGAATTATAAATAAGAAAACAATTTTTGGAATTTCTCATTGAGAATTAACCTTAGCATCCCAGATTTGCACTAGCTAGATATTTCTGAGTCTAAATTCATGTTCTCCAGTGTGCCTGCCATGTGACATTAGGCAAGTTATGAAACTTCTACAAACAGCTGTTTCCTCATCTGTAAGATGGAGAAATAATTATAAAGACTAGAATAATTCTGCATAATACTCAACAACTCTTGATATTTCATGGACATTCCATAAATGCTGACTTATTTTTATTATTCCCAAAGAAGAAATGTCGTACTACTTTTTAGTTTCCCCTTGATTATAACCAGAAATTATGACCCAGATCCGGCTTTAGATGACCTTGAATTATTTTCAAAAACAAAAAAGGTCCCCAAAGTATCCTGATCTAACACCACTAATGTTATGTAGAAGAATATTTCAGAAAATGTAAAGGCATTTCTCTTAAAAGTAACTCCTTGAGTACCATTTATTTGAATATGTGTATTTTGCTATGTTTGAAAACAGTGGTGATGCTCTATTATTACTCATATATTGACATATTTTTATTCATTGTCTCAATAGAGTGTTATATAAACTCATATAGGTCTTTAACCAGGTATTATTAAATCTAAGTCACTAAACTTAGATCATTCTCAGATTGCTTGCTTTACTAGTTTGAATACGTTATTTTTGGTATTAGTTTTTGTTTGATACTTTTTATTTGAAAGGTGTTTTTGGTGTGTGTGTCTTTTCTTTCTTTCTTTTAAGTATCAGCAACTAATATGCTATAGTAAACTTTTGCTACAGTGTTGCACAGGTATATGATTTGAGGGTGAAACATATGAAATAATTCTTGTCACCAACAAAATTTTGTTTGTGGAAAGGGCAAATGCTCTGAGCTTTAAATGTTTATATATTTTGAATTTGCCATGAAGCCATGTGCTTTTTATTTCCTTGAGATATTGTTTTAAAATCTTCTGTTTAAAGCGTTCTTCTCTGAGCTTTAGTAATCATTATAGGTTCATTTTGAACAGTTCATCAAATCTTGGGCAGAAAACAACAGAAATAATAGCAAGAGAGATTCTGAGTTTAGAAGAACTGGGCCCAAAATTGAGTTCAAAGTTAATTACATTTATTTTGGGTTTATGTGATCCAAACTGGATATCTACATGGATTTGATATGTAACTTCTCTTTCATCTTTGTAAGTAAACTTTGAATACAAAACTGACACTCATTTAATCTTGCTATGTCCTATTCCATTAGATCTCTGTTTAGAACTACAGGAAATAAGGGCAAGCATACACAGTTCTCATAATAAATTAATAATGAAGAGAGAGCTATCATTACTACATCGTAAATTATACAGTAAGTCTTAGGTGATTTATTTAGTACCTTAAACACCTAGGAAATTTCACTACTTGGCAGCAATTGGAAATGTATATTAATTGCATGCTCCATCCCACATCTGAAATAAAAGGAGAATGTCAGGAATAGAATAATTCTGGTTTCCTTTTGAATATCATATTTTAATTTCTTTTATGTTTCTTTAATCTTTTCAGCAGTGCTTAAGGATTTGGAAGATGTTGATTAAAGCATTTCCTCTGATTAATTATATTTTGGCTTTCAACGGTTTTATTTTATTTTAAAATGAAGTGCACACACATTGTCTGGATTATAGGAGCATCTGCTCTTCCCAGTCTCTGCAAATATTTATATAAATCTTCCTGCCACCCCGTTCCCTCCAACTTCTCACTGCTTAGCTAATCCTGATTACGTCTCCTCATTAAGCCATCTTCAGGATATGGGAACATAAATAAAACAGACTAACAGCCATCATTTTAGGGATGTTTGTGTGCATGGCTTGCCATTTAACTCATGTGATTAAATTCTCAGAATTCATTCTGAAATCGTAGAGTCTCCTTTACCTCCATGTTCTTTATTTATACATCTGATTATTATTAGCCTAAAAACTACTTTGGATATAATGGCTATGCCCTTATCACGAGGATATGCTATTTTTTAAGCAAGGTCTATGACCATAGTATGACTCAAAATTTAGAATTGAGCAGAAGGCTTAAAGTTAACTCATGAATGTTAAATATCTCCATATATTTGTTCCCTTTAACTGTCTTTAGTATTTATTACTTCCTTTTTATTTATCTATGGGCTAAGAGAATATATGAAGATACTACCTCTCCACAGGGATGCAATGCTAGCACTTTTATAAAGATTGTCCTTCAGCTGGGTTTCCTTAATTAATTGTGGATTTCATATGGGGACAGTACTTTAATCTGGGGTCTTAGCTTTATTTCGTGCTTTGATACAGAGTGAGAGACATCTATTTGACTTCATTTTACAAATTGTCCTTTGACAACGTAGTTTCTGTAGACAGATGATTTTTTTGGATAGTGAATTTCTAAGACTGAGAATTTCTGTTCTTGCAGCTTTATGTAATTATGTTCAAAGGGGTTTGAATTAAAATGGAACAGATGTGTCCATCTTTAATTATGGTGTAACAAATTGTGTTACTCTAAGGCTTTATTAAGTGAAACGCTCATCTTTATGTAATAATGGGTCAGACAGTTTCAAAACGATATGGGTGAACACAGTGTATTGCCTATTCCACTTAGACTTCAAAAGGACTATTAAAACTCAGAGGCTATGCACGTGGAGCCAGAAGAAACTGGAAAATATACATATTTGCTTTTTATTTAAAGCTAAGTGAAAACAATCTTTAGAAACATATGATG